CAAAAGAAACAGAGCCCAACAAATTTGAATAAAATGGGATAAATAATAAGGGAGTATGAAAAACTGTGGAACTTAAATAATCACTTCACAATTGCAAATTTGGTTATAAGTTTGTGACGTCATTGCCTCACTATTTATCAATTGCTTTATATAGTATTTTTTATCCCATTAATTTCTCTTTTTATCCGCCCAAAATTGGTTTACCCATGTGTTTGCCCAGAGTATATGATTCGTATCATATTGCGTGCATGACATTTCACAAAATCTTTTATGAAGTTAGAAGATTTGATCCTATTTTCTGAATATTGTATATTCATAATCATTGATTTTCATATAAACAGTTTATCAAAATTCAATTTTTTCATAATTTAACAACAACAAAAACAAACTCTATGTTAGTGCATCCACACGAAAACATAGAGACTACTACTATCAATATAACTTGGATGTTGGTACGAGGAAATAAGGTTTTTAGGAGGAATTATTGGGTATTTATATTATCAATATAAAGAACACAATTAATGGATAGTAAGGCAATGACGTCATAGACTCATGAATGAGTTGCCAATTTGCCTAGTGGTTTTCAAATTTGTTTATGTCATTGAAAATTCAAAATTTTCTTATTTGTTGTCCGATTTTGCTCAAACTTCTTTTTGATTGTTCTGTCTGATTTTTTTGCTTCTATCGAAAGTAAGTTAGTTTTGGAGTGGATTTGCCCTTTAACATTATTATTGGAACATGTAGAGTTTTCTGTAAAAAAAAAATGCAACATGTGAAAGAAAACAATTACACAACAGATGAAATGACATAATTTTGTTTGATGATTAGACTATTCAGGGTTATTCAGATCAAAATAAATAGTCTTAACAACTTTGACTAGGGAGTATTATCTGTGGAATTAACCTGGCACCCCTTTTCCCGCCGGAATGTAACAATTTTCGCCAGAAGAAACAAAATCACAATGTCTTTAATCAAATATTTTGACGGGATGCTAAATGGAAAGACCATTCACTATACAAAAACGGTGAACATGCATTTTTAAAAATCTTATCAGTTTTCGAGATATTAAACATTATGCATGTGCAGTCTAATAAGAACATAAGTGTATGACCTTGGGAATTACACCTGCCTTCACCTAAAGCCCACATTAAAAAGCCATCCCCTACCTCCGGTCCACTTACAATCTATAAGGGGCCTGAACAAACTAATCATCTTACCACTTGGTAGGTTACGACAAGTTGAACGACTGGAAGAGCGTAGAATACGGACACCGTTACAATATCCCAGAGGTACGTGTTGTACTTCTTTTCCATTTTTACAAACTTATTCCTCGTAAGTTGACTAACGTAAAAATCCTGTAAGTTGATAAATGCAAAGCATACCCCCCAAAAAAAAACAACAACAAAAAAATATATATAATAATAATAAAACAAATATGACGTATTAATTTAAATATAAATGTTAAATTCATTCTTATGGCTGCCAATAAATAGGGTGAGAATCAACATTCTTCACACTGAGAATTAGGTTGCAATTTGGGTGCAGACTGGCATCCACCTACGAGTATTTGGCAGAGGGTGCTGCTATCGTAGCAGAATCGCACCCTTATTTCTTAGTTTGTTGTATCTGAACATATCAACACTCGTCACGTGTGATTATTTGTATAAAAAACAACAACAAAATTATTAATGAAGTGACAATGCTTAAGTAACATGCCATGTACGTGCTGAATGACGAAAGTACTACACGTGTATCAACTTATAGTATACAGGAACATTTGAAAATACCGTTCTGAGAAGAAACTCGTTCCATGAAGGAAAACAAAAAGATGTTTACTTGGCATTTAAAGGGAGAGGGCCGTCAGTTTACATGTGAAAGAAGCCTATATTTAGCTGACACCGTTAAAGGGATCGTGTAACAATGTTAAATCTGAGATGCACGGCTCTACGTGTTATCAGTGTCTGTGAAATAGTGTAATATTGAAGCCCTAAAAAAAATTGCGCTTGTAAATGATCAAGAAGTGCCTCGAAAAAGTAAAAAACTTTGAGTGACCGGTTTTACCATACTCGTTTTTCCCAATAGACTGTAGTGTAATGAAAACCGTTTGGCAAACGGTTTCCAAAATTTGTAATTCCAATCATAAATATCTTGATAATCAGACAGGCAATCTGTCTGCAGAAGTCATGGGGTTCCTGACTGACCTAAAGGTTTATAACTATCATTGCAGCATGAGCTAATTCCAGAATTTTGTTTTAGAATCTGAGACAAAGTTACCGGATCCCTTTAATGGGTGTACAAGTCTGCACACAGCAAACCCGTAATCATATCAAGAAATACCCCCTAGTCTCTCGGAGAGTCTCCGAGTGAGGGAATGATAAGATAAGGACTTTACCAAATGGGGATATGGGTGGAACATGCAAAGCATTCAATGAGACCTGTTGGTCATAAAACTGAAGGCTAATCATGGTGACTGACAGCACCTGTTATGGGTAAACACCCGAATGGTGTCGAATTCCCCATGAGAGCTGACTCCTATACGTCTTTAAACCACTCACCTAGGACATCTCAACACAACATGCAATTTACAAAATTTTAAAATTAGTAAACGTACCTCTGTATTATCGGTTGCTTCGTCGTTGTTCTCATGGGGTTGGGTGTTGTTCTCATTGGCTTGGGTGTTGTTCTCATTGGCTTGGGTGTTGTTGTAATAGTCAATAATAATAAAACTATTTAGAGCTTGTACGTCTCTCTAAAGCAATAATCCATATTATATTCCACATACTAAGCATCTTGCTCTACGATTGGTCAAAAGAAAATCACGTGATGAAAGATAGTTCGCCCATTATTGATGGGAGAAGCAAAAAGTTCGTTACACTGTGTAGATAGTACTACTATCTACACAGTGCAACGCACTTTCACTGAAGATAGAGGTACTATCTACACAGGGCAACGCACTTTCACTGAAGATTCTCCAAAAGCGCACTAAAACAGGCGTAATTAAACTAAGCGCGCATTACCATTGAGCGCAATTAAAGAAAACACATGCGCGCACCGTACCCTCAAGGGGTTGGGTTAAACTTAAACTTTTTGGGTGTGAATTTAGGCCTAGGTGTCTTTTATGTAAATGCATACACGTCCTTTTCTTTTTGTAGTTAAATTGTTTTAGATGTGGAATATAAAGCAAATAATCACCTTTTGGTTTCAGGCGATGGCAAACTATCACTTCCTCTTCGATCAGAATGTAAACGCTATCTTTCCTCAGCTTCGCTTCGGAAAGATAGCTGCATCCAGATCGCCTCGGAAGTGATAGTTTGTCCCATCACCTTCACCAACGGTAATTATTTGCTTACTAGCTGAAATACATTACAATAAGAAAGCAATTCTTCTAAGTGTACATGATGCAAATGCAACCAATACAACAATTTTTTTATGACACTGACTGAAGATAGTATTAGAACATTTGTAAAGTAAGGTGACAAATGTGTGCATGTAACATGCAAAATATAGATGGATGTATATAAATACAAAGTCAGTTTAATGCATTCCATGACTATGAAAACTGAAGAAGAAGAAAAAAAAATCGATAAATCAACTCAAATTTGCTATTTATACGCAGTAACTTAGCATAAATATCACTTTGGAACTAAAGCAGAATGCCAAGTGTCTTCACATGTACGCATGAACATCGTGATCGTGAAAACTTTGGGGCAAGACTATGACATTTCTCAGCCCTTTTTTTGTCTAAAAGAAATGACAATCATGATTGATGAATGCATGAATACCTTGCCAACTTATTAAAATAATACAAAGGAAGAATAAAGGGTAGCAATATAATGAATAAAATATGACAAAGTCATTTTATAAAAGGGATTTTGTTGAATTGTTTTTACCTCCTTCAAAATCACGTGCCCTAGTAGGCCTACTGCATTTTGCCATCTTTCGTCTGAAAATGGATATTGAAACGTCGTTTTGTATTTATTAGAAAAGTTAATTCACATAGTAGATGAATAATTTGTTCTTACAATACATACGCATTGTAATTATTACACATATAGACACAAGAATTGGAAAGATACAAGGAAATCATGAATATAATTGTACACGCATGTATTTATATATTACTTCAAATACGATTAATTGTTTAGAAAAACGGTAAGGCATATACAATTTTCTTATTTATTAATTTAGCTGCTTGTGTATTGCATTGATTATGGCAAAATGATGGCAATAATATGACAGAAATTGCAAGGTAAATGATTTCGGGGTACAGTTCAAATAGTCAGAATTTTTTTCTCTGATTGTTACTATAATTATTTTTATGTCCCCTATTAGCATCATAATACTTTTCTTGAAGTTTTAATACATGTTTAATTGAAAATTAACAAGCTTGTCACCATGTCTTAAATGTACAATATAGTTTACCATAATGGTAGGCAAATTGAACGTTTAAATTCCAGTTAGACTAAGATACCTGAAATCTTTGGGTTTAGATAAAAGTACGATGCACTTACATCAAAACGGGTACAGCAAAGGTAATAATAGAAGACAGGATAGCAATGACTATGAGCACCACTAAAGTGACCAGAACCGGCTTCCAATATTCTACAGCACAAGATAAGAATGAGATAATACTGAGTATTCGTGTGAAATAGGTACTTTTAGTATAACGCCTGGTAAAAAATGCTAGCCAAGCAATGGATTGACAGATTTATAAAGAAAATACGTGACTGAATACAATGTTCAAGTACAGTCAAACCTACTTCAATGACGACCAAGACTATAGAGACCCCATTATTTGGTGTCCATTGAGCATAGTTTCCTATTGAAACTTGTATTAAAGGAGCCTGACATAAATACTACCAGCTCATAAAGGCTGATTTTCGTGTCTCCCTTGAGCAGTATTCATATGCACGTTTGACTGCCCATGGAAAACGACAGTGCAGTCCACTGTATCAATTATCAAATCATAAAGTTTCCAAATTGCAATCATTATAACATTCATGTATACAGAACTATGCCTTCATGGAGCCTACCGCCATAAGGAATTCTCATCATACTACAATTTCCCTCACACTCGGGATATAAAAGTAAGCTGGAGTACTTTCTTCATGGTGTAACAACGAGTTTCGCTGAATGAAAAACCTGTGCACACATATTGATTCAATTTGATTATTGATTGGTTATTCCACCAAATATGATGACAGCGAATTATGAGGCAATTCACATCTACACTAAATCTATGTGGTTTTGATAAGATTTTTATATCACTGAAGCCTTCTTTTATCACAATAAGCAGTGAAATGTGACATAGTACTTACTGTCTAGTGTGTGTTCCACTCTCAGTGTTACAATTTTTGTGCGTTCGGATGAGCCTGTATATTGAGCTGAAAGAATACAATTTAAAAAAAATAGTTAGTACATCGGGTAGTAGAAAAACGATTCTGAAATAATAGAAAATGCAGAATATAGGTAATGTACAGTAGGTAATCCAATGTTGCCACACATAATACATACCTACAGTTAACAACTAAAATATTCATACCCCATTTGTTTGTTTTTTGTGTTTTTCATAACTCAAGAATTAAAGCTGGATCGGTTGAAAGGGGCCTTTGTTGAATAGTTTTAGATATCAGCTTCAGTTTCAACATACCTAAGAAAGCTTTTCATTTCTACAATTAAGTTATATGTTCGAAATGCGAATACAATATCTGATACGGGAAACGGCCATGCATTATGGTTTAAGGCATGGCCACACAGAGGATTTTTTTTTCTGTTGGGGACCTGGGGGAAATGCAATAAATTATTGATAACTGATTGCATTTTTGTTGGCGGGGGGGGGGGGGCTGCCCCCTACCCTAGCCCCGCTGCGTACAGTCATGATTCAGTGGCAAAGCAATGGCCTAGTAACTGTTAGGCCCAATGATCGAAACCGTGTCGATGTGCTATATTAGTGCCATTTGTGAGTCAGTTATGACTTAAGGACGTAGGTCCCCTAGTCGATAAACATAGTAGCGTACCCATGCTTTAGCAGTCACACAAAACAAACACTCGCCAATTACTATTCAATAAAATCAGAGAATGTATACTATAAACTAGATCTTTTAGGAATAAATCATTGTCAAAAGCATTCCACAAATTGGGGTAAAAAAACAATATTCCACATTTATGACATAACATTGTACATGTATTTACTATTTTCAAAGAATCATAACATAATTATTATAATAAATTAGATGCACCATCATTCGAAAGGATACGATGAGAATCATGAGATTTACATGTTGCCAATTGAACCCAACATAGAAAGTAAGGATCCCTTACCTTCGAGAGGTGTGAATTCCTTGTAGTTATTTTCGCATCTTTTATCGTTTGGATGCACGACCATCACAACATAGAAACGGCCCGATGTATACATGTCTCTCTGTCAACAAAATTGAATAACATAAACGGGATAATGAAAATGATATCACAGTCGTAAAGTCGATATGATGTACTTCAGAAAAGGAGGGACGATGGCTCAGTGGTAGAGCAGTGGTCTCGTTCATGGAAGGTCCCGGGTTCAAAACCCAATTCGGTGCGCTAGTGCCTTTTGGTAAGGCATTAATTATTATAACCAAGTCTCATTACATCATCGGGGGAGTTCATGAAACCTGAACAATAGTTTAGTAGAATAACCAGTCAGGTAAAACCAGTCAGTTAAAACAAACAAACAAACAAACTTGCGCAGTGTGGGAGGAAGGCCGCCATCTATTCTTGAATCATATTTGCGGTATAGGGTCTATCGGTCTAAGTGATCATTTATTGATATACCTTGTATTGAAAGAAAAACCACCGCCCTCTATATGTTTTGTGAGTACCTACCGTTCATTTAGAAAGTTGAATGAAAATTCTTTCAAAAATGATGTTAAAGATATAAACTGGGATAATTTGTACTTAAACAATCACAATGTTGAGAATATGTGGAATATTTTCAAATGTAAATTCAAAGACATTTGTGATCTTCATGCACCGTATGTCACAGTAAGAAAACGTTCTAGGGGGTCACCCTGGATTACCAACGAATATTTATGGATCGCAAGAGATAGGAATTATTTTAAATGCAAATTTGATAAACACAGAACTACAGACTACTGGGAAAAGTTTAAAGAATTCAGAAATAGGGCAAATGTACTAAACAAGAAGTTAAAGAAATAATATTATAAGAATCTGTGCATTGAAAATGGTAATGATATGAAAAATCCTGGAAAGTACTCAAAAACTTACTCTCAAAGAAAGATGCCAATTCTGATTATAAAATTCTTGTAAATGACCAAATTGTAGTAGACAAAGAAAAAGTAGCAGAATTGTTTAATGAAAGTTTCAATAATATTCAAAGCCAACTAACAGGAGCAAATGATTCTCATCTCAATATAAATGCATTGCAAACATTACCGCAAACAGCACATGAATTCAAATTTCCTCATGAATTTAAAGTTGCTAAAATAACCCCTATTCATAAAGGTGGAAACAAAATGAAATTAACTACTACCGACCTATTTCCATTCTCCCCACAATGTCAAAGATATTTGAAAAAGCAGTGCACAATCAGATATACTCTTACTTAAACAAACATTCTTTGTTAAGTGAACGGCAATCAGGTTTTAGACCAGGGCATTCAACTCTAACATGCTTGACTGAAATAGTCGAAGGTATACTTGACAATATGGACAAAGGTCTGGTCACTGGAGCCATTTTTCTTGACCTGAAAAAGGCGTTCGACGTTATACCACATCCATTGATTATTAAGAAAATGTTATTGTATGGTATTGAGGGAGTTGAACTTGAGTGGTTCGAATCCTATCTATCTAATAGGCAACAATGTGTATTCTTGAAAGGGTCGAAGAGTAATTTTCTAACTGTGAAATCAGGAATTCCAGAAGGACCAATACTGGGGCCATTAATTTTCTGCCTCTATGTGAATGATATTTGTAACCTGCAACTCCGTTCTAAGACAAAGATTTCCTTATATGCAGATGACACGGCAGTATTTCATCATGGAAAGTATTATAGAGTTTGTGAATACAATCTCCAAAAAGATTTTTCCCGTATCTTGAAATGGCTAAAATACAATGGACTGTTTTTAAATGCAAATAAAACAAAAACAATACTTTTTGGTTCCAAAAGAAAAATTCAAAATAATAATATTTGTATTCGTTACAGTGACAATGTACTCGACTCAGTCGAAAGTATGAAATATCTAGGTGTAACACTAGACAAAAGTTTAACAAGGTCGTTACATGTAAAAGAAGTTGTTAGGAAAGTATCGGGTACGATTGCCTGCATTAGACGTATACGCAATTATATTTCCCGTAAGAATCTGATTACATTATACTATTCTCTTATCCTACCGCATTTAAACTACTGTAATTCAGTATGGGGAAATACTTCGAAACAAAATCTAACAAAGTTGCAAAAATTACAAAATAGATATGCACGATTAGTTCTTCGTGCCGAATATTTTACACCCCAAAATGTTTTAATGAGTAAATTGAAATGGCGGTCATTAGAGGAAAGAATTAAATATCAGAAATGCATCTTGATTTTTAAAATCATAAACGACCTATCACCACCATATCTAAATCCATGTATAAGTAAAAGACCGGTATTATATTCTACTCGTTATACTTTAAACAGTCCATTATTCATTCCAAAATGTAAAACAAATTTTAAAACGAAAACCTTAGCGGTTTCAGGAGCTAAAATATACAATAAATTACCCTATCATATTAAAAATTGTAAGTCGCTGCAAAGTTTTAAAAAGAATGTCAAAACCTTTCAGTTTTCCTTGTAAACATATTTTCACGTTAATTTGACCTTTATTTATTACAATTCATTCATCTAGTTTTCTCAATTTGATAATTGTATTTTTTCCTTACAATAGTTAATGCGTGTTTTTCGTTACCTATGTTTAATTATTGTATATACCATGTTTATTTTACCTTTGTATGTATTTTTTGAATTCATGTTATTATTGTACATGTTTTTATGTGATGCAGGGCTCTCTGGGAGAGCAGGTTCAGAAATGAACTTGAATGAGACCACCCTGTTAAAATAAAACTATAATAAATAAATAAATAAATAAATTAAACAATAACAATTGAATATTCAGTATTATAATTGTCCTAGACTTACCGTGACTGTAATTGCTGCCTGCAAGGTCATCGTCTGAAATGTCCCCGCGTTGTAACGCACGGTGGAAACATCTTCAAAGATCGGACACTGGGAGAAAAAGATAAAGACAAATATCAACTAGAAATGTAATTCGTCACGAAGACGAATAAGGTGGTCTGTCTTCAAGTCTTATAATAGATTGTAATATTTACTGTATTGAAAAAGGGATAAGTTATATAGACATGTACACAATGATGATTATGATGATGATGATCTTGATAGTAATGATTATGATGATGATGATCATGATGATGTTGATGAGGATGATTATTATCGTTATGATAATTATGATGATCATGATCATGAGCGTGATTCTGACATCTTTTTGGAAAAATGAGGGATGATTATGATAACATATAGTCTCAGCGACAAAATACTAAAATTTGGGAGAAAACTGTTGAATAACAACCGAGAGACTGGTCAAAACACATTGTCATGCAGATTCATGTTTTGAAAAAAGTGACCTCCCATAGACATAACACGCAAATATGACAAATTATGCATTGTCGCCTTCAATCGAATATTTAACTATGATGACGTCATCCAAATGAAAAAATATGACTTATTCTGATAGAAAATTATCTCAGCTACAACATATCAAAATCTGGGAGAAAATCGATTACCGATAAGTGAGATAATCTCAATTAAACAAAGACAAAAATGACGTCATCAAAAAAATACATTTTGTTGAGTTTAGATGTCAATATGAAGACTTTGTTACACTTTGTACGAGTCAGGGTGGTATGAAATCATATCTCCAACTCATGCTTTCTCCAACCATGATATAAAAATTGGGGGTCAATGGACTATCTGAAGAGCTATTTCGATTTTTAAAATGGCATGTTTTTGATCAAATTTGCATTATATTGCCCATAGCAGCACGCGCGGATTTTGAACTTTGACGCACGCTCACGGCCTTATGAAATATGGAGAGTGACTGAAATTAATGTAAATTGTCAATTACGTTAAGAGGAATCCAAATCATGTAAACATTTTGAATTTGACCTTTTCCGCGGGCTGTGAGCGCGCACACCGCGCGCGGGGACAAGAACGGACGGAAAATTTTGAAATGCTTAAAATGACCTGATTCGTACTCTCGTTTAATAGTTAAGTGATTTTGAGCAATTTTAAATTTTGACGCGCACATACGCGCGCGTCATGACCTTTATGTGACCTTTGATGACATGACCTGTTGACCCTTGACCTGAAGTATATGTGATATGAATACGAATGACCTTTGCTGATGCATCATGAAGATATGATGGATAATGTGATTTCACAAAATGGCGCCTGGATGACGTCACGATGACTTGATGACCTTGAAAATGTTCTAGACACGTGTCATGACAATGACCTATGACTGTGCTAAAATTGAATCAAATTGACTAAACCAAACTGTGAGTTATCCTGGGCACAAAAAACGGGAAGAAATAAAAATAAATAATAACTAGAAATTTAATTCGTCACGAAGACGAATAAGGTGGTCTGTCTAAGTCTTATGATAGAATTGAGAATGGGAGAATTTATATAGACATGTAAACAATGATGATCATGATGACCATGATGATGATCATGATAGTAAAGGTGATGATGATGATGATAATGATAATGTTATATGATGATAAAAACGATAATGTTAATGATGATGATGAGCATAAGCATGATCCTGACATCTGATTGAAAAAATAAGGAAATATTAAGATAGCAAATAGTCTCAGCTACAACATACTAACATTTGGGAGAAAACTGTTGAATAACAACCGAGATACTGGTCAAAACACCTTGTCATGCAGATTCATGTTTTGAAAAAAGTGACCTCCCATAGACATAACACGCAAATATGACAAATTATGCATTGTCGCCTTTAATCGAATCTTTTAATATGATGACGTCATCGAAATGAAAAATGAATGAGATATTTTTGATAGAGAATTATCTCAGCTACAACATATTAAATTCTGGGAGAAAATCGATCACCGATAAGTGAGATAACCTCAATTAAACAAAGACAAAAATGACGTCATCAACAAAATACATTTTTTTGAGTTTAGATGCCAATATGATGACTTTGTTTCACTTTGTACGAGTCAGGGTGGTATGAAATCATATCTACAACTCATGCTTTTTCCAACCATGATATAAAAATTGGGGGTCGATAGACTATCTGAAGAGCTATTTCGATTTTTAAAATGGCATGTTTTTGATGAAATTTGCATTATATTGCCTATAGCAGCACGCGCGGATTTTGAACTTTGACGCACGCTCACGGCCTTATGAAATATGAAGAGTGACTGAAATTAATGTAAATTGTCAATTACGTTAAGAGAAATCCAAATCATGTAAACATTTTGAATTTGACCTTTTCCGCGCGCTGTGAGCGCGCACACCGCGCGAGGGGACACGAACGGACGGAAAATTTTGAAATGCTTAAAATGACCTGATTCGTACTCTCGTTTAATAGTTAAGTGATTTTGAGCAATTTTAAATTTTGACGCGCACATACGCGCGCGTCATGACCTTCATGTGACCTTCGATGACATGACCTGTTGACCCTTGACCTGAAGTATATGTGATATAAATATGAATGACCTTTGCTGATGCATCATGAAGATATGATGGATAATGTGATTTCACAAAATGGCGCCTTGATGACGTCACGATGACTTGATGACCTTGAAAATGTTCTAGACACGTGTCATAACAATGACCTATGACTGTGCTAAAATTGAATCAAATTGACTAAACCAAACTGTGAGTTATCCTGGGCACAAAAAACGGGAAGAAATAAAAATAAATAATAACTAGAAATTTAATTCGTCACGAAGACGAATAAGGTGGTCTGTCTAAGTCTTATGATAGAATTGAGAATGGGATAAGTTATATAGACATGTAAACAATGATGATCATGATGACCATGATGATGATCATGATAGTAAAGGTGATGATGATGATGATAATGATAATGTTATATAATGATAAAAACGATAATGATGATGATGAGCATAAGCATGATCCTGACATTTGATTGAAAAAATAAGGAAATATTTAGATAGCAAATAGTCTCAGCTACAACATATTAAAATTTGGGAGAAAACTGTTGAATAACAACCGAGATACTGGTCAAAACACCTTGTTATGCAGATTCATGTTTTGAAAAAAGTGACCTCCCATAGACATAACACGCAAATATGACAAATTATGCATTGTCGCTATTAATGGAATATTTAACTATGATGACGTCATCAAAATGAAATGAATGAGATATTTTTGATAGAGAATTATCTCAGCTACAACATATCAAAATCTGAGAGAAAATCGATCACAGATAAGTGAGATAATCTCAATTAAACAAAGACAAAAATGACGTCATCAACAAAAAACATTTTTTTGAGTTTAGATGCCAATATGATGACTTTGTTTCACTTTGTACGAGTCAGGGTGGTATGAAATCATATCTACAACTCATGCTTTTTCCAACCATGATATAAAAATTGGGGGTCGATAGACTATCTGAAGAGCTATTTCGATTTTTAAAATGGCATGTTTTTGATGAAATTTGCATTATATTGCCTATAGCAGCACGCGCGGATTTTGAACTTTGACGCACGCTCACGGCCTTATGAAATATGAAGAGTGACTGAAATTAATGTAAGTTGTCAATTACGTTAAGAGAAATCCAAATCATGTAAACATTTTGAGTTTGACCTTTTCCACGCGCTGTGAGCGCGCGCAACGCGCGCGGGGACACTTACGGACGGAAAATTTTGAAATGCTTAAAATGACCTGATTCGTACTCTCCTTTAATAGTTTTAGGTGATTTTGATCATTTTAAAATTTTGACGCGCACATACGCGCGCATCATGACCTTCATGTGACCTTTGATGACATGACCTGTTGACCCTTGACCTGAAGTATATGTGATATAAATATGAATGACCTTTGCTGATGCATCATGAAGATATGATGGATAATGTGATTTCACAAAATGGCGCCTGGATGACGTCACGATAACTTGATGACCTTGAAAATGTTCTAGTCACGTGTCATGACAATGACCTATGACTGTGCCAAAATTGAATCAAATTGACTAAACCAAACTTGAAGTTATCGTGGGCACAAAAAACGGGAAGAAATAAAAATAAAGAATAATAATAATAATAATAATAATAATAAAGAAAATTCTGACGAAATCAATAGGTGGTCTGTTGATAACAGACCACCTAATAATAATAAATAAATAAAGAAAATTCTGACGAAATCAATAGGTGGTCTGTTGATAACAGACCACCTAATAAATAAATAAATAAAGAAAATTCTGACGAAATCAATAGGTGGTCTGTTGATAACAGACCACCTAATTAATCTCTCATAGAGTATTTGATATTTCTTGATATTTCTTTGATATTTTCCGCTTGCCAGTAGGAAAGAGGCAACTCCCATGCAAGAATTGACAAATTGGAAAAGTGTTCTCTTCCCTACAAGAGAAACAAAGACTCAGTGAAGTTTGATAACGTGGAAGATATGTGAAGCAAAAATGCCATAACAAGGATAATCATGAATATTATTAAAAGAAAGAAAGAGAGAAAGAGGAGGGGTGGGGCAAGAACAAAGGATAATGGTGAGATAAAGAAACGTGAAGAGAGGGATTTCAATATTGATAAAAAGGCGGAAACTGGACAAATAAGAAAGTGAAATGAAGGGAGGTGGAAATAAAAAAGGTCAAGAAGGTACGTGTACATGTACATGTGGGATATATGTCATTGATGTATACTTTTCTACCAGTTGAATGGGGGTAGGTTAAACAAGTCTACTCACCTCTGCCTTCTGCACTGAAAAGTAGGCACATGTATCATTTGGTGACTTGGCTCTCACCAGCACCATATTGACTCCCTCTGGAAATTCATATTGATAAAACTGTAACACAAAATAAAAAAGACATAATCAGATAATTCCTATATATGTACATGAAATAAAAGAGAAAAGTGACATGATTCAAATACAAAATTCAATAAATTGCATTGCCGTGTCCGTTGAAATATTACAAATGTAATGTTCTTTTAGCTTGGCAAGTTCAGTAACTATACATTTCTACTCTCAATAAATCTGGGTGGTCTGTAGCAGAAAAAATTTCAAAACGAGATAAAAACTATATGACTAATTATAAATTCAGGAAAAACATGAAAGGAAATCATTAAGATAATTTATAATTTTTCCCACTGCACGTACATAAAATTATACTCCTGACAAGATTTCAGCAAAAAATACATTATAACTGAATTTTCTCATTCCCGATACTGCATTTACAAGTAGATCCAATAGATGGGTGGGGGGGGGGGGGTCATTACTGTACCCTACCATTTAAAATCTCTTACCTGAGGTGAAGATGGATCACTTGAGAATGTGATATCTGTATCGGATCTTAAGAGACAAGAGGGAAATATTAATACAAATAATAATTTGATATTAATACGGAGCAGGAGATGTAACTAGAAGTGGGTGTTTTGTACAGATAGCTCTTACCATTTCAATACATGTAATACATTTTATTTTTGTAAAAATAAAATCTGTACATAGCCATCTGTACATAATATGAAGTGTACTGTACTTTATGAAATATCCCTTCTTTCTTCCTCTCAACACCCGCCCACGAACTTCTCAATAAAAGCGTAAACCACATTCAGAGATAGAAATCAATGCAGGTTAATTAATGTACAATACAGTTTATTCAGATGTTAAGATAAATAATAGAAAGAGAAGGGAAAAAAAACTGTTTCCAATTTGAAATCAAACTTACTCCAGGTTGAAATCGTCTACAAACATCCCAGTCAGGGTGAAATTGACTTCAATGGCGGATAATGTGCTGACGTCCACAATGATGGTCTCCTCCACGCTGGCGTTTAGGTTGGAGGAATCAGGGCACAGGGTCTTGCTTACTGAGCCATATTTCTGGCTGAGGATGAAACAACAACAAAGAATAATGACTTTTTCATAGTGCTTAACGTATTTACTACATATGCAAGCACTTTATATTGGTATTATTAGTTACTCCAGTCTTTGGATTCAATTGGTAATCTGCACATGATAGTGTACATCCTTCGCTCACTGGAGAGTATTTCAGCCCTGCATCATGTATCTAACCATCCACTTTAACGTTCTCATCCTACCAGATACCCATTTAGCACCAGGTGGACAGAGGCAAATGTAGATGCATTGTGGCCGAGGCGGGACTTGATCCACGAGCCACAGTCCGTTGATATATCCAATAGACCACAGCATTTCTACTGTCTCAATCTAAGATAGCTAAATATACAGTAAACAACAAAATTATTCATACCCTTACCAATTTTGTAATAGTTTAAGTACGTTGAAAATCGATTTGTTCAGATTATGTTTTTTGGGAATGTGACAAAACAAATCTCTGATTACTGTCCCTTTTAATTTGACAAGTGCTCCTTTCCTTTCTAATAAAAGCTCTCTTTCCTTCTTAAAACTGCCCCTTCTCCTTTTCATTATTACTCTTTTTCATTTCTTATAAATGCCCTGTTTATTTTAAGACATGCCTCTTTTTCTTTTTGGTAAGAGCCACTTCCCCCTTTCTATAAAAGCCCCCTTTTCACCTCTGATAAATGCCCCTTTAAATTTTGATCGGTGCCCCTTTTCTTTCAACAAATGCGCATTTTCCTTTATTGTAAATGCCTCTTTTTTATTTTCACAATTGCCCCTTTTCCTTTTTAATAAGAGACCTTTCCTCATAAATTCTCCACATTCACCATATTCACCTCTAATAAATGTCTCTATCAAAATATGATGGGTGCCCCCTTTTCGTCGACAAATTCCCATTTCCAATTCTCATAAATGCCTTTTTTCATCTCTGACGATAACCCTTTTAACTTTCACACGTGCTCCTTTTCTTTTCTTATATCAAAATGTCTAATCCCTTTCGATAAGTGTCCCTCTTTTCCTCTCATCATTAAATGTGCCCCTTATTTAAATCGACTTATTTCCCCCAAAACTCGCTCGCTCACATGTATAGATTATATAATTATATGTCTTTTCAGTATTCCGTTATGAATATGTGCTTATAAACACATCCGAATTGGGTTTTTCCTCTTTAAAGGATGTGCATTTTCGCACGGCGACCTTACGCCTTAGTCACAAATACCATTACGAACCGCTAAAAATGACGTAAGAACGATTTTCAGACCACTTCGGAAGATCTTCTTAAAGAAGGTCATACGAAACCAACGTTTGTAGACCGTTCCTGAACCGTTCGTAAGTTCGCAGACTGGTCGATGGTATGGTTCATTATTTTTTCAACCTCGTACGAAACCCTGTCTTTGTAAGGTTGCCGAACAAACGTCGTAATAACTTCGTAAGAACCACGCAAGATCTTCGTACATTTCGTAGGGTCGAGGGACAATTCCAGAAGCCTCAAATTGTAACGATGATCGTAAGAACGCATTAAGTTGTTCATAAAGGGCTCTTACGGTATTTTTTAAGAACGCCTTAAGAACGGAGCTTTGCATGGCCTTCGTACGTGAACGGCTTATGGCGGTCGTAAGGCGTTTGTAAGGTGATTGTGAGGTGTACGTATACAACTTATGCAATTAATGCAGCGCTTTTATTGCAACCCGACAAAAGATTCACAACAACATAAGAACTTCTTGTTTATGAAACTGAAACCAGATTCGTGCGATTAGGGTAATACTTTAAGGCAAAATTTAAATGAAAGGCTTTACGGTGAACATTTGATCATAAAGATATGCATAGCATTGGGGATGATTACATAGTTCCCCCCCTTTCTTGGTCAAATATTGGGGGAGGGGTATATCTCCCCAGTCCCCCCCCCCCCTCCCCCGATCTCCGCCTATGAGCTTGCTATACAATTTGGAGTAGATTGTCGGAACATTCGCTTCAATGTCTTTGTCTCGCAATCACTCCATTTGTGCTAATGTTTAAGCAGCTTAGTGACGGCAAACAGTGCCACTGTCCCCATTGATATACCCTACCTGCATACCACAACCTTTGACTGTCTTTAATTCTTGAAATTAAGGTACGTGTATTAGGACATGTAATATGTATTATATCACTAACTTATATGAATGGACGATTTTGATTAAGTTATCTAAATTTGCCCATTATTTCGGACATCGTAGCTTTCATGAAATTCCCATCAGGACCGCCGAAGAAAACGTTTGACAACCCCTGTATTAAAGCTTACATATATATGTACATTTAAAAGTACTCAACAAAAGCCCTAATTTAAACAGTCCCCCTTTCATTCTTGAGTTACAACATCCCAAAAAGAACATCCAATGTACAAGGGGTATGAATGATATAGTCGTTAACTGTACAATAAGTAAAATAAGCCTATATCTTAAAGATAAACTTGAGTTCTGGTAAAAAAAAGAAAATTAATTCTCACAGAATCAAACGAAACTTACACTGAATGTTCAAGATTACAAAAATAAATGACATGTGCCAAACAATTTTGGAAGAAAATGTATACTGGCTGAGTAATGAGCATAAGAAGACAAGGAAATCAAGGTAGTACCAGCCCCGACACCATGAGTGTTGTCCCATATATAGCTTTCTGTGTAAGTGCTTGTTACTTTACCAAGACTCGGTCAAATTTATTATGATTTTGATGAATCCAGAACCTTGCAGTCCACACCAATACTTACATGCTACACGATCAACTGTTTCTGATCCTTTCCACACCTTTTCTTTCAATCGCATTACCAGTACTAAAGTTTATCTTTAAACATTTAATTTAGAAGTTTGCTAATAACTGATATATCGATAATATGCCCTTAAACTATACGATCTTATTGTGTCTGTTTCTCCAGACCTTCACCTCGTCCTCATCCCCCCTTTTCTTTGGAGGAGTGGTTTAGTTGTTAGTTTCTTCCTTTGTCTTTTTCTTTCTCTATGTTATTCTCTCTCTCTCTCTCTCTCTCTCTCTCTCTCTCTCTATATATATATATATATATCTATCTCTCTTTCTTCGTCTTCTTCTTCTCCTTATTCTTCCTTTGTGTAATTAATACACAAAGGTATTAAACTGTGCAGGTTCCCACACATTCATAGCCACTACGAGAACCCATATAAATGCTCCTTCATGTATCTTACCCGTCTGGTGAGACGTAAGGCACAGTCCAGGACAAGACACTCCGGGATCGTTTAACCACGACGAGGATTGGGAAGTCTGGCACCGCATCATCGCTGAGGAAGTGGAATCGGATCGCCTTATCCTGGTAAAGGTTGAAAGTTGGGGAAAATACGAAAGCTACTGTTAAAGATAAAGTTGAGTTATGGTCATGCGATTACATTTTGCAAGAAACGGTGTAAAATCGATCAGAAAAGGTTGATCATCTAGCATTTAAGTATTGGTGTGTACTGCAAAATGTGGGATTTGGCCTAGTCTTGGTAAAGTTGCAAGCACTGTACACAAAAATATGTATATGGGACTACACGAACATGTGGCATAACAATCCGTTCCCGATTTTTATACGATAATTATTCGCCTTTGCTGCTCTTTAAAACTTTCATGACAAGTAGTAGCAAATGAATATTTCTGGACTAATGATAAATTCGTTTCACAGTTGATTGCTTTTGATTGGTTCTATTGTTCGGAATATTTAGCAGACGAAAGAGATAGAAGTTAGGTTCCCACCGTTATCGACGATTTATTTATTATCATTCGTATTTTTCCCGTCCTTTTATAATGATATTTGTATGGAATAAAGGATTACATTTTAGGCACCTGGGAGAAGTTCTATTTTTTGTTAAGAATGTTCTGGCTTGCTTTCAGAATATCCCGCTTGTTCAAATATTTGTTTTCTAATTTGTTTTCAATTACAAGATCAAGCACACATTATCACTCTACTGGAGGCAAGCCAAAAGTGTTTTTTGAACGATAAACTACACTGTGTTACTATTGTATGTAGAGTCACATGTTATTCACTAGTAGTAGTAGTGAGTAGTAGAAGTAGTTCAATAGTAGTAGTAGTAGTAGTAGTAGTAGTAGTAGTAGTAGTATTAGTAGTAGTAGTAGTGAGTAGTAGAAGTAGTAGTAGTTCAATAGTAGTAGTAGTAGTAGTAGTAGTAGTGGTAATAGTAGTACTAGTATCAATAGTAGTAGTAGTAGTAGTAGTAGTAGTAGTAGTAGTAGTAGTAGTAGTAGACATTATACTTATTATTATACTTATTATTATTATAGTTATCAGTATGATTATCAAAAGATGATTATGACTATGATAATTATTGTTATTATTATCTTTTACATTACCATTATTATTATCTTTTTCTGAATCATTATTATTACATCAAGATTCAAGATTCAAGATTCAAGATATTTATTGTCATGTAAAAAATACATAACATTTGACTTCGGACATGTAAAGGTGATATACATTTACATACAGACATAAATACAGACAAAATAATTACATTTCAACGTATTATTTAACAATCATCACAATTTTAAGAAGGTTGCATTAAAAGAATAAGACAATACTGAGGAAAAGGCAGTGCAGTTAAAAAAGCTTGTTTTGTTTTGTTATTGAGCTCGTCCATCGAGGCACTTCCACGCCATATCATTGGCACCATCAGCATAAACATCGACGGCAGTAGTGTATAAGTACATTAATTAGAAGGGCTAGTAATGATCTTTTGCAATACGTCATGTGCCCAGAATGTATTGCTATACCAAATCCAAGGTGTCTACCAGGATTATCTTTTCGTTGCTGAAATATTATCAAGATAATAGAAGATACACTGTTGGTCATAATGGTGGAATATTTATTTTTACCCCAGTTTAGGGAAGGATTTTTAAAAATTATTTATTTCTAATAGATCTAAATAATGGCATACATTCTCAGATTTTATTGAATATTAAATTGCGAGTGTTTGTTTTGCGTGACTGCTATATCATATGTGTGCTACTATGCTAATCAGCTAGGGAACCTACGTCCTTAAATCATAATTGACAGTAATGAGGATTAATGCCTCACAAAAGGGCACTAATATAGCTGATCAGCACGATTTTTATCCTGGGGCCTCACAGTAACGAGGCTATTGCTTAGCCCCTGAATCATGACTGTACGCAGTGTTTGCTAGGGTACGCGGCCCCTTCCACAAATCCCCCAAAACGAAGAAAATGCAATAAATTGTCAAAAATTCATTGCATTTCCCCCCGGCCCCCTACAGGAAAAATTCCTCTGTGTGGCCATGCCTTGAACCATAATGCATGGCCCTACAGAGGAATTTTTCCTGTAGGGGGCCGGGGGGAAAATGCAATGAATTTTTGACAATTTATTGCATTTTCTTCGTTTTGGGGGATTTGTGGAAGGGGCCGCGTACCCTAGCAAACACTGCGTACAGTCATGATTCAGGGGCTAAGCAGTGGCCTCGTTACTGTGAGGCCCCAGGATAAAAATCGTATCGATCAGCTATATATTAGTGCCCTTTTGTGAGGCATTAATCCTCATTACTGTCAATTATGACTTAAGGACGTAGGTCCCTTAGCTGATTAGCATAGTAGCACACATATGATTAAGCAGTCACGCAAAACAAACACTCGCAAATTAATATTCAATAAAATCTGAGAATGTATGCCATTATTTAGATCTATTAGAAATAAATAATTTTTAAAAATCCTTCCCTAAACTGGGGTAAAAATAAATATTCCACCATTATGACCAACAGTGTACATTAGAATAAAAGTTTTGTATAATAGAGTAAAATATAAAGAAGATAAAAATGAATAACCCAATCATGACAATAGACAATATGTCATTATATATTGTTTTCAAGTTTATATTTATTTGAAGCTGGCTCGAGATGTGCTTTGATATTTGGTACTGGAGAATTATCAAAGTCAAAATGAACTTGCTTTAAAGCTCCACTGTCCTACTTGTAGCTACTTGTTCCCTATATATAGAAAACTTCCCCAATCGGTGCCTTTTGGTCCCCCATGATTCTCTTTTTCCTATGTTAGTTGAGAGCTGAGTTAATGAGATAGCCACATGTCAGTGACCTCGCTGTGTGGTCTAATCTCTTCTGGCCCAGTAGTATTGACGGTCTTTAAATAAATGATCGCGCTATATCTTATCCATTTTTAGTTGTAATAATTTCTGACTGTTTTCAAGACAATATTATTTTTGTCGATCATACTTCTATCTAGCTTTAAACCCATGGTATTATTCAGGGGAAAGCTAGCACAACGACGATTGCTGAATTTTGACGACAATTGTTTGCCTCTGCTGCTCTTTAAAATTTTCATGCCAAATAGCAGCAAATTAATATTTCCGAACTCATGATAAATTCATTTAACGGTTGATTCCGTTCGGTTGGTTTTATTGTTCGGAATATTTGGCAAAAAGAGATAGAAGTGAATGTTCCCACCGTTCGCGACGATGTATTAGTATTCTTATTTTTTCAGCGTCTTTACAATTTGAGTAAGAAAAAAAAGAAAAGAATTGCATTGTAGGCCCCCTGGAAAAGATTTCAATTGTTGTTAAGAATTAACTGGCTTGCACCCAGAATATCCCGCTGGTTTCAAGATTTTTTTCTAACTTGTTTTAAATTACAAGATCGAGCTTACGTTATTAATCTACTGGGTGTAAGCAAAAAATATCTTTAGAACAATAAACAACACTGTCAGATGATGTTTGAAGGTTTGCATGGTGGTATGAAGACGGACAGTCAACCTGTCCGAAACGTCGAGTCTACTCTCCTGCTCCTGCTCTGCAACTCTACTCAACTCTCCAACTCAATCCAGTCTTCTACTCAAACCTCTCATCCTATCTACAACTTTCTGGTTTACAGTCCTTTTCAGGACTATACTCACTTCCGAAAGATACTCTTCCTTCCAACCTCCACTTTCTCGCCTTTCTATTTCACTTCTATTTTCTATCCACTTTCCTTAGTCCTTCTAGGACTTTACACATGGTGTACCGTAAACCTCTACCGCGATTAAACAACACTGTGTTATGTAGCGTCACATAATTTTTACTAGTAGTACTAGTGAGTAGTAGTAGTAGTACTAGTAGTTATATTTGTAGTAGTAGTAGTAGTAGTAGTAGTAGTAGTAGTAGGAGTAGTAGTAGTAGTAGTAGAAGGAGTAGTAGTTATATTTGTAATAGTAGTAGTAGTAGTAGTAGTAGTAGTAGGAGTAGTACACAGTTATACTTATTTCTATTATCATTTTTGATTGTTGTATTTAGTATGAGTATCAATAAGATGATTTTGATTATGATAATTATTGTTATTATTATTTGTATCATTTTTATTCTAGTTCTAATGGTTTCTGACTGTTTTCAAGATAATTTTTTTTGTCGATCATACTTCTATCTAGCTTTATGCCCATAGCATTATTCAGGGAAAAGCATTCAAAGCAACGATTGCCGAATTTTAGCGGTAATTATTCGCCGTTGCTGCTCTTTAAAACTGTCATAACAAGTAGCAGCAAATCAATATTTCCGGACTCATGATAAATTCATTTCACAGTTCATTCCATTTGGTTGGTCTTATTGTTCGGAATATTTGGCAAAAAGAGATAAAAGTGGAGGTTCCCAACGTTAACGACGATGTATTTTTAGCATTCGTATTTTTGTTATCGTTTTTTACAATGCTGTTTGTATGGACAAAAGGGATTACATTTCAGGCCCCCGGGAGAAGTTTCAATTGTTGTTAAGAAATGTGTGGTTTCTGACTGTTTCCAAGACAGTATGATATTTGTCGGTCATAGTTCTACCTAGCTTGATGTCTCATGGTATTGCTTAGGGCATAGCAATCTAAGGAACGATTACTGAACCTTAGCGACAATTGATTGCCTTTTTTATTTATTTATTTATTTCATTTCCAGGCAAGATGATAACATACAAAACATCACAAGGTTAACAAATGATAGAACATACTGTAAACATAATGATATTTAGCACCAGCCAATGCCTGAGGATCACCTAAAAGAATTTTAAAAATTCTGTCGAGAGGCTCTCCACATTGGCTGGTGCATACATAAAACAAAATATAAAGATAAGGTCAACATAATTTATAAATGAATGTGTAACTAAAACTAACGATAATATACATGTAGATCAAATACTGTTAGGATTATTTTAAAGAAGGATTCGAAAAAGAGCTGTTCAAACTATGCATGTATAATAAATGCAGAAAATTGTCTGTTTATACAGTCATGTGGATACGGTAATATTGGAAGTTAGCAAAACTGTATAACATTATGAATTTGAGTTGATTTGATTTGAAGTTATCCAAATTATGGAAAATTATTATTGATGATTGAAAGTTATCCAAATTGGGAGACATTATTATCGATTTATAGACAAATTTAAAATACATAGTAATCAAAGTGAGAAGAATGTGATAGAACATATTGATAGAGGAAGTACATTGAATAAGAACTTAATAATAACAACATATGCATTAAGAAATCAATAAAACATATCAAAATGCAGAAAACTGTCTGTTTATACAGTCATATATGGATACGGTAATATTGGAAGTTAGCAAAACTGTATAACATTATTATTAATAATTTGATTTCATTTGAAGTTATCCAAATTATGGAAAAATATTATTGATATGATTGGAAGTTTTACAAATTGTGGAACATTATTATTGATACATTGTATGATTGGAATTTATCAAAATTGGGGAACATTATTATTGATTCCTATACAAATTAAAAAGACATAGTAATCAAAGTAAGAATGATGTGATAGAATACATTGATAGAGAACGTACATTAAATACGAACTTGATAATAACAACATACGCATTAAGAAATCAATAATACATATTAAAGTGTGAGTTATTCTATGATAGAGAAGAAAAGAAGAAGGGGAAAAAATGGAACATTATTATTGATACATTGTATGATTGGAAAAAAGGCAATAACAAAGATTAACGAAATTTAGACATTACCAAAAAAAAAAACCAATGGTGAGGGACATCAACTTGTGAAAGTACACTGTTGCTCATAACGGTGGAATATTTTTTTTTATCCCAATTTATGGAATTATTTTAAAAATAATTTAAAAATACTAGATCTAGATAATAGTATACAGTCTCAGATTTTATTGAATAATAATTTGCCAATATGTGTTTTGCGTGACTGCTAAAGCATGTATATTATGCTACTATGTTTATTAACTAGGGGACCTATGCCCTTAAGTCATAAATGACAGTAATGAGGATTAATGCCTCACAAAAGGGCACTAATATAGCACATCGACACGGTGTTGATCCTGGGGCCTCACAGTTACGAGGCCATTGCTTTGTCACTGAACCATGACTGTACGCAGCGGGGGCTATGGTAGGGGGCAGTTTCCATAAATTGAAGAAAAAAACAGAAAATGCAATAAATTTTCAATAATTTATTGCATTCTACCCCGGTCCCCAACATAAAAAAAATCTTCTGTGTGCCCATGCCTTGAGCCATAATGCATGGCCGTCCAGAGGATTTTTTTATGTTGGGAACCGGGGTAGAATGCAATAAATTATTGAAAATTTATTGCATTTTCTGTTTTTTTTTAAATTTATGGAAACTGCCCCCTACCATAGCCCCCGCTGCGTACAGTCATGGTTCAGTGACAAAGCAATGGCCTCGTAACTGTGAGGCCCCAGGATCAACACCGTGTCGGTGTGCTATATCATCGCCCTTTTGTAGGGCATTAATCCTCATTACTGTCATCTATGACTTAAGGGCATAGGTCCCCTAGTTGATAAACATAGTAGCATAATATACATGCTTTAGCAGTCACGC